CTCTGGCAGTAGCTCCAGCCACTACCGTGAGGTCTGCAGGTTCAGGCTCCTAAGCACAAAAATTCAGGAGCTCCTCTGTCAAGAACTCGTACAAATACTAAATGGGGCCTATTTTGTGCAGATGATGTAACAAGGACTGCATGGGTGAGGGAACAGATTTGTCTCAGACCTCTTCCTTTTTCAGAAGAAAAAGTTCAGAAGCTTAGACTGGACCTTGTGGCTTGAAAGGGTGCCTAGGCCTGAGAGCCTCTGGACTCTGATTTCTGTCTTCAGGGAATGCTGTGACACTCCTTTGCCCCAGCTCATTTTACTGGATCCACTTTGGACATGCGGTGGTTTCATTACTTGGTGCCATGGTGCCTGCTGTCCTTGACCCTGCTATCCTCACTCGGTGCCTGTATGTCTGCTTTAATACTCTAAAGCTGTGTTGGTCACCAAGAGCTGGTCCATCCCCTGAGCAGTGCCTGGCTCCTGCAGGAGGCACCAGTCTCTGACTTTGGATGCATTCTCCCATTAGACCCGCCAGCTCTGTGTCTGGCTCCTCCAAATAGTTGGCATTTGTAGCATGGGAGGCAGCCTGTCCGAGCTCACTTCAACAGCTGGTGCCAGCCAGTTCCTCAAAGATTGGTGCCAACAGCAGGAAGAGCATGCCAGGGCCTTGCTTATCAAACAGACCAGCATCCGTTCCATGGCTGCCACCGAGGGACAAAGGGAAAAGCAGCAGAGGAAGTCCCTCTTGACATGGCACCTTGTGGGAAAGGTAGGCATGTGCCCTTTGGAAGAGGATGCAAGCTGGAGGATGAAGAGACGACCTCAGTGAGCGGCCTTCCCTCCTTGCTCCCATTTCCTAGCTGGTGAGTAGTGTGTGATACCTGCCTTTGGGAAGCACTCGAGGCTTATAAATGGAAAATAGATCACAGAGGTGAAGCAGCAGTGCTTACTTTGGGGTCTGCCTTCGGCTCCTTCCTCGCTTTCCAGAAGTGGTTCTTGTGGGGACACCTAAGGTGCTCCTGGTGCTCCCCATCCCTTGCAAGGCAGGGCCCTGCTTCTCCCACAGGTTGCTAGGCTGCCTCCTATTAAGAGATGTGACCAGCAGCTCTCCCATGTAATTCTCTTCCTCCCACTGGAAAACTTGTTTGTGTCCTTTAAATAAATATTTAATATATCTCATTCTTGTCTCCTGTGCTGCTTGTGTTCATTACTGAAGGTGAGGTCAGAGTTCTCTGAGGAGGACATGGTGAGATAGAGAGTGAACCCCTCATCCCATGGGAATTTCTTGTTCCTAAGAAAGTTTTCTGTACAGATGTGCTTGAAACCAGCGTGAGAAACAGAGCCATGAACAACAACTTTTCCCAGCATCGCTGGTACACACTGGGCAGGGCTCCATGGCTACACTGGGGGCACAGACAGAGCTCATGAGTTTGACTGTATTCAGTGGGAAACAGAAGGGGAGTGTGGGAAGAAAGGTTTGACCTGACCATGAATCAAGATGCAAATGCAAGTGGGGATCCTACTTTATAGCATCTCACTGACAATACTTATTTTTACCACAATCAGTTAATATTTCTGAGGCACATGGACACAGCACGCTGCAAGCATGGGAGTGGGCTTTGACCCCATACCTTGTCCAGCTAGTTAACACCTATGATGCTGAGAGCATACGTAAGAGGATAGGGGAGCTCAAAGCATTCCTCAGTGCTATCGCTAATGCTGTCTAATGTGTTACCAAAGGTCCACAGTGATGTTTGATCTCCTGTTCTCTAATGCCAGGGCTTTCCTACCTGCCAGCTCTTGGATAACATGCTGCCCAGCAGCATGGGTGATTGAGGAGAGTCTCCCAGATCTTCCTTGAAGGTTTCCACCTTCCACATTCAGCAGAAAACTTCAAGGAGGATCTGGGAGAGTTGCTCCTCCCTGATCGCCTATGCTGCTGGGTTTTAAAGAAAAGGGTCAATCCTGCACTTCGCACTTTCCAGGTATTTGCTGATCCATGGGATATCACAGGGGGTGAGCAGGTAGATGCAGGTGTGTTTTATGGTCCAAAGCAGTCTGCTTGGAGAGGGCAGCTAGATTGATGTCCCCAGGGATCAAGGGAGAGAGATCCTTTATGTCCTATTGGGTGGCACCAGGGAGGCAGGAAGGAATGGAGTCTCTTCAAGATGGGCTTTCCTGGGACATAAGTCTAATGAAAAGTCCCATATGAGGCTCTTATAGTGAGATTAAGGGTTTTGCCGATATAGAAACCACAGTGGCCTGTGAGTTTGGGGGGTGGGGGGGAAGCAGGCCTTGGAAGAGCAGCAATCCCAAGTAACCTGTAGCAATTAATTTTGTTTAGTTAGGTTCTGTCCGTAGAAGTCATCTCGATTGGGCAGAGCAGCCCTAGTGCCTTTATTGCAGGATGACACCATTTATAAGTGTGCCACATGAAACGCCAGGAAAACACTGCAACATTAGGTGCTAAGTCTGTTAAAGCCATAATTTTGAGATTAAAATTCATATTTTCTGTAACGCGGACACGAGACGTTCCATAGTCATGTTTGTCACTGCATAGTCATGATTGCTCCTCAAATTGGTTGTCATACCATGCATAATAACTGTTACCAATCATTGTTTCACTCTCTTAAATTTAGCAGTAGGTGGACAGCAAGGTTTTACATAGAATCATAGAATCAACCAGATTGGAAAAGACCTTTAAGATCAAGTCCAACTTTTCTCCCAGCACTGCCAAGGACATCACTAAACCACGTCACTGAGGGCCTCGTCTACACGGTGTGTGAACACTTCCAGGGATGGTGACTCCAGCACTGCCCTGGACAGCCTGTTCCAATGTCTGAGCACCCTTTGGGGAAGAAGTTGTTCCTAACATAATAGTAAATTAATATGGTATTTTAGGTCATTCGGGAAAGAATTCCTCATCATTTTGTTTACTGGCTGCTTAGGGATTGCTGGCTGGTCAGTGAAGCCTCTTCTGCTTAGGGCAGCACTGGTGCCGTTGTACCAGTGATATTTAGCAAGTCCAGTGGGGTAGATGTTGCTGAGGAGGATACAGAAAGGTAAGGTCAAGCTTTCTCCACTGTGGCTGCAAGGAGCTCCTCTGTGGGGAAAGGGGTTCTTAACACAGAGGTTGTTGTTTGGCTTTGTTTGTCTTGGTTCTGTTGTGCAGGCAGTTCTTCTCTCTGGCAAACCCCTCCAAACCCGAAGTAGCCAAGAACCAAGCTGTTAAAAGAAATATCAAAATAAAATATTTCTGATAGATTTCATAAAGGATGAGTTATAGCAAGGAAAAAACTAATATTTTAGATGTAAATATATTGCACTTCATTCGTCAACCCAGTAACATATTTTTTTTTATCTGAAAAGATTTAAGATAGCCCAAACTCTTTGGATGGCATGTGGAAAGCATTCCAGTTTGACAACAGCTTAAATTGATTACCTTGCTGAGGGAGGGGGAAAAAACCAGCTTTATTTAAATCAACTTTAAAGCTTTATTTTAAAGGGTGGATATTGGTAGCTGGAGAATAGGCTCTGCTTTCCCCTCATATTGCAGCTGGGTGGCAATAGCCAGCCTTCACTTATTTATTTATTTCCTGCACAGAGGGGAGGAAAATATAGGTTCATGAATCAATCTAGATAATGGGGAAGGCTGGATGTAATAAATAATACAGTAACAACCCTAAACTAATGAGCTGTTGCTAAGGTACATTTCACAGGCTCATCCTCTATATAAAAAGTCACTAATAATCCCTTGGTGTAATCAGATGATAAAGCTTTGCCATAAGGCAACACCTGTGCAATTAAAGCCGTGGATTCTTTTGCACGTTTCATTAATTTCAGGATTTTGTAAAGGCACAATGACTACACTAATAATCTAGTCTACTTGACTCCATGTCTACTGGAAACAGGGTGTCTAATTAGGTAAAGGTAATTAATTAGAGATAAATGGAGCTAATCAGACTCAGTTAACACTAATTCTCTGAATTAAGACATTTTGGGACACCTACTATTCCACTGGCTTTGATGTTTCCCAACAAACACTGGCTTGGAAAGGAGTCAGAAACCATTACATTTGATCTGCTGGAGGCTGTTGGCCTGACCCTGCAGCATCACTGGCACCAGCAATCTTGTTGGGAGTCAGCGGGGCTCTGAGCTGTGCTCACTCCCATGTATTTGTCCACTGGGATGTGCTGGTGTCTGGAATGACCACAGTAACTGTGGTCAGCATTCCGGGTAACTGTGAACAGCATTCCGAGTGCAGAATGCAGTGTCTTTCTTCACAGAGAAGGATCAAAGTTAAAAAGTCAAGGCAAATTTGAAAGAAATCTGCATTATTTAGTGAAAGGATCAGCATTTCACAGGTGGTCTGTGCATGTGGAACTCTTTGGAGGCCGTGGGCCTGTTCTGGTGAGGAATCAGATGCTGTTCATCTTGCTTAGGTAATCAATTACATTGGATTCAGGTGCCAGCACATTCAAAACCAGCAGCACTGCTGGGCAGGCAGGGAAGAGTAAAAGTGTGGGGGAAAGGAAGTGAGTAAGAGGTTCTGTTGATCTAGCATTGTGGAATTCCTGCCTGCCTCCCTCTATTGCTAGCTTTGTGTTAGAACACTCTTGTTTTGCCCTTTTCCCAGGTAATTGTTTCTTTCTGATGTGAGTTACTGTGTAGCAGTGATGGCAGATGTGGTGGAAAGATGCTGTGACTGGTATATGCTTATACTGAAATGACAACGTCACCACTACCAGCTCTGTAAGCGTTTGGGGATGGGACCACGCTGGGTATAAGGAGAGAGCACATTTTAGAAGGTATTGCCTCTAGTCTCTGCATGATGTTAAATCTCAAAGCAAGATGGTTTATCCTCCCCTATGGATGGTCTGCTTATTTCAGCTGTAAAGCACGGCTGATGGAGAGTTCTTCATCTATCGCTTGAATGCTGGGAAGCGTGGGATGTGCTCTTCCCTCCCACATCTAAAGAGGAGCAGACACCTCTTTTTGAACTTGTATTT